CTTTTGATTTGCATGAAATTTAGCACAGCCCAATGAATAAGATCTAGAATGATGTCTGCTAAGTTTCGTGAAAATCGGTTCAGATTTAGATATAGCTCCCATATATATTTTCGTCCGATTTAAGCTAAATGGTGCACCAAAGCCCCTATATATCTTTCGATTTGCACGAAATTTGGCACAGCGTAATGAATAAGGTCTAGAATGATGTGTGCAAAGTTTCTAGAAAATCGGTTCAGATTTATATATAGTTCCCATATATATATATATATATATATATATCTTCGTCCGATTTAAGGTAAATTGTGTACAAAAGTCCCTATATATCTTTCGGTTTGCACGAAATATGGCATAGCGTACTAAATTAATTCTAGAATAATGTGTGCAAAGTTTCGTGAAAATCGGTTCAGATTTAAATATAGCTCCCATATATAGCTTCGCGCGATTTTAGGTATATAGTCCACTAAAGTCCCTGGAAATCTTTAGATTTGTACGAAATTTGGCACAGCGCAATGAATAAGGTCTAGAATGATGTGTGTTTCGTGCAAATCGGTTCAGATTTAGATATAGCTCCCATATATATCTTCGTCCGATTTAAGGTAAATTGTGTACCAAAGTCGCTATATATCTTTTGATTTGGACGAAGTTTGGCACAGCGTATCAAATTAAGTCTAGAATGATGTGTGCAAAGTTTAATTAATATCGGTTCAGATTTAGATATAGCTCCTATATATAGCTTCGCCCGATTTTAGGTAAATAGTCCAATAAAGTACATAGAAATCTTTTGATTTGCACGAATTTTGGCATAGGATACTGAATTAAGTTTAGAATGATGTGTGCAAAGTTTCGTTACAATCTGTTCGAATTTAGATATAGGGGAGACTGGGGCACCTTCGGCATCGGGGCACCTTCGGCAATCGCGTTTTCGATATGAAGCTCTCACCGTACATCACTAGTATCGATACATAGGTATCGAATATCGAAATAAATAACTGACACAAAGTTTGAAATTTCTAGCTAATAAGCTTATTTAGATACATAGGTTTTTGTGTTTTTATAGATGTTTCTGTAATATTTCAATTCCATTTCGTAAGTATTTCGTGATAAAACTTTTAAAATTTTTAAGACAATATTATTAAAAAGTGGTTAACTACGATGTGTATTATTATAAAAATATTTAAAAATATACTGTTTTTACAAATCTGATCGAAAAAAATGAAAAAAACTATAAAAAGACCATTTGGGGTACATTCGGCATTTTAAAGTGGGGCACATTCGGCCATATACAGATAGTGCAATATTATTTCCTTAAAATATTTTTTGTGTTTGTCTTTAAAACTAATCCTTTAATATGGTTCGAAATTGCATATATAAGATCAAACATGCTTGTATTGACGAAAATGCGATAGAAAAACCATATTTCTGATGGTGTATGCGACCTTGAGATGTAAACGTCCGTCGCTAGAAATTAAAGCCCTATAATTCAAACATTGTGTGGCGTATTAAAACCAAATAGTGCCTTTATTTCAACCAGACTGATAGCGATGACAATTACCCGGCTATGACTGTGGCGCCGAATGTGCCCCATCAAATGCCGAAGCTACCCCGGGTTGGGGCACATTCGGCGAATTTGACTTTTTTTACAAAACTGTAAAATTTTTTAACTAATACTATTTTTGTATATCTTTTTGGGACTATTTTTTATAATTAAGTGTCAGAGGACAATAATCAGCCATAAAGTTGTTATATATGTTGAATAAGTACTGAGATATAGAGCTCTAAAAAAAAGTGCCGAAGGTGCCCCAGTCTCCCCTAGCTCCCATATATATTTTCATCCGATTTTAAGTAATTGGTGCACCAAAGACACTATATATCTTTCGATTTGCCCGAAATTTGGCATAGCGTACTGAATTGCGTCTATAATAATGTGTGCTAAGTTTCATGAAAATCGGTTAAGATTTAGATATAGCTCCCATATATAGATATGCCCGATTTTAGGTAATCGGTGCACCATAGTCCCTGGAATTTTTTTAAATTGCACGAATTTTGGCATAGCGTACTGAATTAAGTCTAGAATGATGATATAGTTCACATATGTATTTTGATCAGATTTTAAGTAATTGGTGCACCAAAGTACCTGAAAATCATTCCATTTGCACGAAATTTGTCATAGTGTACTGAATTAAGGCTAGAATGACGTGTGCTAAGTTTCGTGAAAATCGGTTCAGATTTAAAAATAGCTCCCATATATATTTTCGTCCGATTTTATGTAATTGGTGCACCAAAGTTCCTATATATCTTTCAATTTGCACGAATTTTGGTATATGGTACTTAATTATGTCTTAAATGATGTTGCTAAGCTTCGCAAAAGATCCATAGCTAGGCCGATTGACACAACGTACTGAAGTAATATAAATTAATCTCTGGAAAGTTTCCTTGAAATCGGTTCAAATATAGATATATAACAAAGACGCGTCATCTGTTAGGATACATATGTAGAATATACCCAAAGTGGTGAAGAGTATCATATAGTCGGTCCAGTCGACTTTACTACTTTCCTTACTGGTTCTATGTTGATTTAGACATTCCTATCCGTCTTTCGAAGTCACGACAGAATTTGCAATATTTAAGATAGAGGTATTCAAATTTGCATATTCATTGCTACAACTCCTAGGTACACACCCCCAAATTGCAACACACTTGGGCAATTGCTATCTTCAAACGGTCCAGTTGTTGACAGTAAAGATCAGAATTTAGCATTTGGCCATATGGAAGAAACTAATAATAAATAATCCCCTTCCAGTCCCACCAAATGAATAGCAGAACCTTCCTGGCCGTTAGTCCTGGTTTGGTCGACGTTTTCGCACAGGGTTATGTGGGTATGTGATCAATTTCTCATCTTCAGTCACCATCCGTTTAATAAATTTGTCTATCTCATTCCGTTTGGCCAAGGTTTCGTAGATGGAAATTCGATCCATCCTATTTTTTCTGTTAATTGGTGTGGCACTCAAACATCGAGCTTCTGTTTGAATCCAGCTTTGTGTAAATGGTTTAAAACAGTTTTATGGTCGATTTTTAGCGATTTGTTGGACCATTTGAGGCGTATTCGCGGTCAACATTGGCATAACATAATCATCAAACATTAAACTATGTGTACCGTATATTAACGGACCGAACTATCGATTCAAATAAAGATTTCAAGCATTTTTTGAATTTTATGTTTTTTTATCTTTCATATATCTTTTAAAAATCACTCTTTAGAATACTATTTTATTCTTGTATGGGATTTAAATTAGTTCAATATATTAAATATCCTAGCTGCACATTCCAACCAATAGCTGACGATCTATTCGCGGACGCCATACAAATAATTTATCAAATATCAAGTTCATTCCAACCTCTGGTTGCCGCTAATACCGCGGTGGATAAACATCTTCTTCACTATTTTTTTCATATTTTTACATAGTCCCCGTTCAATAGTCACACGTCGTTTTCTCCTGACGGAAATTTATCATGGCCTAACACCATATTAAATTCCGAACGATTATAGGTTTTTGAATATTTACCTCGTGAAAACTGATTATGCCCACAGTTTTATGGATAATACGATGGAAATTCACCTAATCGAAATATTGGTTTTTGGCCCCATATGTCTTTGGACAGAATCCGTTTTAGACAATTTGTATCCGATTTACAAATGTCCGTCCATCTGTCTTGCTGCACAAAGATGAGGTCTATCAGCTAACATCCCGCCCAAATATTCAAATTTTGAAAAATTTTAAATCCATCGACGGATTACAGTGACCGAAATTTGAATAAAACTCAACAATTTGACAATAGACCTTATTGCAAATGTAAGTAAACTAATTCAACTACAATATGATGTCTATTGATTTCCTATTTATGCCTTTCAATTGCAATGGAACACACAAGTCCATGTACCTTAATCCGGCGCTAAAACACAAACAACAATCCTCTGCAATCTTAAAATATCTATGTAAAACACAATATTCAGACAAATTTTAAAAGTTGTTATATCCTGCTGTTATCCCCGGGACAGCCAGTAACACATGACAAGAACAAACATCACCCTGAACGTAGATTGCTGTAAAATCACGTACGTTAATCCTACCATGAATGATTCTTGAACAAAAGGAAACACATTTGAAGTGGACACTTGAAATTACCAAATCCTTTGTATGACTGACTACCACTAGCTGTGATCCCTTCCGAATAATACCTACAAAAAGGAATAACAATACAAATATAAAATATGACATTTGAACTTCTTCTACGAACTAGAGAGCATATCTCACTCGCTCTCTCTCTCTCCATCCCTACCATTTGGGATAAATTCTTTTACACTTAATTTCATTAATATTTCCTTAAGTCATTCAAATAGATTTGTGCCTTTTGACACTCATTGTTGTCCAGTCAATATCCTGCTGTTTCCGTTATCCTATCTGAGCAAATTTCCATTTAAAGGTATCATATTGTTGTTATTGTTTTTAGGAAATATCTAGTATGACATTTGCCATTGCTATTTTAGGACTGCTATTTAGATCCGTTTATTCCGACAATGGCAATTTGTTATGGCACTTGAGATAAGATGGCCAGCCATGGTCATATGACAATGACCTTTAGAAACGTTGTGGAGGAGGACATCATATCGCTCATTTGCTGCAAGAACGGCATAAATCAAAATATCGATTTTGCAGAAAATGTGTTTTTAGTTTTCAATTTACTCACACCTTGCAAGGAACAGAGGAACTTTTAAAGATTTTCAATCGGAATCTGCATTTTTCACACCCAAAAATGTGGATTTTCGATTTATGCCGATCTTGGAGCTAAACAGCGATATTATGAATTGGAATCAAAACTGCAATTCCTTTATATCGGTATATACAATTATTAGATATTAATACACAATAAATTTAAAACTTTAAATGATATTTAATACTTATCAAATTAAAATTTAAATGATTCAACTTTCTCTCCAACAGGTAATTGACATCGATCCCTTTTGGGTACCCACAACCGAAGAGGAATTCACCCATTATGGTGAAAAAGCTGATTCGGCCAATCGTGCCAAACTCTACATGGACAGTGTGAGACGCCGCAAAGGTCTTTATGTCGATGAAAAAGTTGTCGAACACGCTGAGAAGCAACGAACCCTAAGCAAGAAGAAGTAGTGACGTTTTCCCGGTAAAGAACAAGGGACTTATTTTTGTTTTTATACAATTATATTATTCTTCAACGAAAAATTTATTTAAAAAATATTGAGCCACAAGTGCCGCTCTTAACCTTTACACGTCTAACTTTGATTTTTCTTAATAAAGCATTTGTAAAGAAAATATTAATGTTTTTACTGAAACACAACGGTATCAAAATATGGGTAGGTATTATTGTAGTGTACATTAAATAAGTATGTCGGCATGTCTATTGAAATCACAATAGCTATCACAATATTTACGATAAAGCTTTGTAATTTTGCACATATATTACTACTACCCCTTGGATATTTGTTATTAATACTGCGATATATATGTCCAAGCTTTAGTATAACCTCCATATAACGGAATCTGCTCACATTCGGGATTTTGAAAATTGTATCCGCATTTTCCAACCGAAGGAGCTTCAATTTGGCATTTCATGTTACTGAAGGGCGCAAAACATTTTTGCAGCTAATTTTCAATATATATTCGTCCATTTCTTGACATTGCGTCCCATATAAAGGTCAGGTCCTATTTTATATATTACTAGCATATGCCCGCTACTTCGTTAGCGGAACTTTCCAAAACCACATTAAATTTTATAGTTGAAATCAATAAAAATTAATTCAGCAACACAATATTATACCCTTCTTATAGCCTTCTCCACACTGTGGTACAGGGTATTATATATTTGTGAATTTGTGTGTAACAAGCAAAAGGACACTAGATAACTCATGGTTCCTTTTGAGAATATGCATAGGATCACTTTCTAAGTCGATTTATGCATTCCGTACAGTTTGCATTTATGATCCAAATTGGATGAAATTTGGCACATATAACTTGCTTGGCCCATGGACTAATCCTATTGACATTGGGAAAAATCGGTTCCGATTTAGATATAGTTCAGCGTACTAAATTGAATCTTGAATGATGTGTGCTAAATTTCCTGAAAATCGGTTCAGATTTCGATATACCCCCATATATATTTTTTTCGGATTTAATGTAAATGTTGCACCAAAGCCCCTATCTTTCATTCGATTCGAACAATGTGTTGAGACTTGAATGAAAATCGTTTGAGATTTAGATATAGTTCCCATATATTTTCTTCCGATTTAATGTAAATGGTGCGCCAATGTCCCTGTATATCCCTCCATTTGAACGAAATTTGGCATAGGGTACAGACCGAAGGTATATATGTGTCGACAACACAAACAGACAATTTTTTGTTTTTACTCCAAAATAAATGTTGCAGTATTCAATTTTTACTTACCTTCCGCACGTTATTTTTATTGAAATTGTCCATATTTTTTTTTGATTATTACAACTTTATTATAAAAATAAAAATAGGATACATATTGTGTACAAAAAATCTAAAATAATTACAATGTAAACTATTTTCTACAGAAACATATAATATTATATTAAAAATCATAATTCTATGTCAATCATTACTTAAATGTAAAACGTTCTGTTAAAAACAACCAACTTTCGAGGATTTTTTAGTATTTTGTTGTTGTGTCTTTTTCTTCCCATTGTGTGACAAACATATTTAAACTAACCCAACTAATTCATACAACTAATGCAGCTTTTTTCTATTAAAACGTATACAAAATACTGTTGCCGTTAGTTCTGCTTAACATTATCTATTTGATTGTTATGTTCATCTGTGTGTCGTACGACAGCTGCATCTCTAACAATAGTTTTCTCGCTTTCACTAATTTCCGGCACTTCCAATAGCCTATCGCCCAATATAATGTGTATAGATCTGTTACAAAGAGGAAGTAAATATTTGATGATGTAGAAAAGAAAACAGTCGTTGTGTATTTCGCAATTACTTACAGTACTAGAATAAACACGCCCATTTGGGTGGCAATGGTCAATAAAAATATGCCATCACCACCTTTGCCTTCATCGTTCAGAGTGGCCTTATACACTTGCGAATAGCAAACACCGCTTATAAATGGTACAGCATTATCGCATACCGAAAGTAAAGCAAACACTTTACCCCTCTCCGAAATGGGTACAATTTTCGAGGTCATTGCACGAATCATGGGCCCAACAATGGGACCCAAACTGCAAACAATAGCTCCCACATAGAAGATTAGGCCCGTTTCGGCAAAATAAAAGAACAAACGAGCAATGGCATGGGCCCAAGCGCCAATGAAAATAATAATCTACAAAAAATGGCAATTGAAATTGTTACAGATAAACAATAATAGTACTTAGTAGCAATGGTGAATCTTACGGTATCTTTCCAGCCAAATACTTTATTCATTAACGGCACGCCAACCAACATAGCCAGCACATAGGCGGACGACTTAACCGTTTTAAATGTACTATAGACATCGACACCCCATTGGAACTTAAATGCAGTATAAATGTAAAGATATTGTCCCTCATCTCTCTGGAACGTATACAGGGCCATGGTAATGAGTAGGATTATCAAAAAGCTTCTACGATTTCCGGGTCGTTTCTTGGTTAGAACAGCAATGGAATCGACAACATGTTGTTTATCGAAGAAATCACCGAAAAAGCCACACCAACCCAATTCTCGAAGGGAACGTTGTTTTTCTGTTGTTTGCCACTAGAAAATGAAATACAAGGAATATAAAAGATATAAATTGAAATCATAAATAAATAAAAAACAGAAAAAATCGGAAGAAAATATATACGGAAGCTATATCTAAATCTGAACGGATTTTCAGGAAACTTAATACACATCATTCTGGGCTTAATTCAATACGCTATGTCGAATTTCGTGCAAATCGAAAGATATATAGGGACTTTGGTATACCATTTACATTGAATCGGACGAAAATATATATGGGAGCTAAATCTGAGCCGATTTTCAGGAAACCTAACACACATCATTCTAGATTTAATCCAGTGCGCTATGCAACATTTCGTGCAAATCAAAAGATATATAGTAACATTGGTACACCATTTACCTAAAATCGGACGAAATATATATGGGAGCCAGCAACGTACACAGGATTTCATTGGGGGGCCGGTAGTACAAAATGAAAAAATCGCTGTTGCAAACAAAAATTTACTGTGAAAAAAAATTCAATTCGAGGGGGGCCCGGGCCGCCCCCTGCGTACGTCCCTGATGGGAGCTATATCTAAAACGGAACCGATTTTCAGGAAACCTAACACACATCATTCTAGACTTAATCCAGTGCGTTATGCCAAATTTCGTGCAAATCAATATATATATAGGGACTTTGGTGCATCATTTACCTTAAATCGAACAAAAAATATTATATTAGGAGCTATATCTAAATCTGAACTGATGTTCAGGAAGCTTAACACACATCATTCTAGACTTAATTCAATACGCTATGCCAAATTTCTTTCAAATCGAAATATATGTAGGGACTTTGGTACACCATTTACATAAAATCAGACGAAAATATATATGGGAGCTATATCTAAATCGGAAACGATTTTCAGGCAACTTAACACACATCATTCTAGACTTAAGTTAGCACGTTGTGCCAAAGATTTATAAGTACTTTGGTACACCAGTTACGTAAAATCGGACAAAAAATATGTATGGGAGCTATATCTAAATCAGAACCGATTTTTCAATGGGGTTCGTCCTTGGGCCAAATAAGTGAGCTGTGCCAAATTTCATTCAATTCGAATCAAAAATGTGACCTGTGCTTTGTTTACAATTTAACATGAACAGACGGACGGTCATGCATAAATCGAATCAGAAAGTGATTGCTGGTAACTCTAAAGTCCACGAAGAAAAATCGTGGTATCCCTTTATGCGACCATTGCAGGTTATTTCTGAGATGATATTTCTGCAGTCAAATCTAAAGCTGAATATTTTTGTATTTTTGATCATCTTGTTCGTCCTTATTTTCATGAACCGTGAACTAAAATACCACAAAACAAGATTTTGAGCCTCCAAATATTCAATAAAAATGTTGCTCATAAGATTGCAAATATGACCCTCAAAGGCGAGAAATCGATATTCGTATGTTTTTATCGTCCGATTTCTTGTCTTTGGCGGACCCTATCTAAAATCTTATAAGAAACATTTTTGTGTATAATTTGGGAGTCAAAAAATTTCGTCTTGTGGCATTTAGTTTACTTTTCATGGAACGAAGGACGGAAAAGAAAGAAAAAACTGAAACAAAATATCAGAGCTAAACATCGCGTCTAATATTCCTTACCTTTAGATTAATAATTGTATAAATTATGGACAACGCCAACAGTGAAGCGTTCAGTGTAAACATATTGGCATAGGAACGATTAAAATGATTATAGAACAGATATGAACCCAAGGCCACACCGGTGGGCATAGCACTCAAATAGACCACATCCAAAATTGTAACTCTCAATGTTCGATTTTTCAGTGTCGATATATCCGAAATATATGCAAAACATGAGGCAAATATTGCAACATCTGCTCCCGTCAAAGCGCTGGGCAATGTGGCCGTGTAGAGGATATATTCGACGGGCCACGATTTCATTCGTGCATTAACCACAATCATTACAGAGTAAATGAATTTTCCACACAAACCCATCAATAAGGGGAATTTCCGTCCGCGACGATCCGAAAATGAACCCAAAAACAGGGCCAATATAATTGGGAAGACATGTGCCGATATCGATTCCCATTGCAGGAACCAGGCTGTGGTAATTTGAACTTGTTTCTTGTATTCGGCATTTTCACTGTCCTTGATGTGTTCGCAGATTTCATCGGTGAAATTGTTATTGACCCGACAGGCTTTTTGCAGGAAGAAGTCCTGCTCCACGACTGAGGTAATCATAAAAGCGAACATATACAGGAACATTGTGGGTTCCACTGAGATTTCTTTGTACCATGGTGAGAATATGGCTTTTCTAAAGCGTACACATTTGCTGTCTTTTGAGGTAGATGGCAGAGGTGATGACGATTTTGTGTCGTGGTGATTTGGATTGTTTCCATCCATGATGTATCTTGTTGAAGTTGGTTGTTCAGTTAATTTATCCTCCTGAAAGTAGGCAACAAAAACAAGATATATCATTAATAATAGTCGATAATAGTGTGCGCTGTAGTAGCACAATTTTGAAAAAAATCGTCGCAATCGGAGAAAACTTTGAAAATAGATACGAGACTTATATCTAAATTTGAACCGATTTCAATTAAATTTAACAGACATTATTCTGCAATTTTCCGATTAGGGGAGACTGAGGCACCTTTGGCATGGGGTACATTCGGCAATAGCGTTTTCGATATGAAGCTCTCCTTGACAAAAATATAAAGAACCCAAAAAGACAACTACGCCATTAGTGAACTTTTTAGTTAAAAAAAATTTCGTCCTAGGGTATTTATAGACATGGACAGAGGGTAAATTCCCCTGTGAATTGGGTAAATACCCATTTGTGGGTATTTATTTGGGTATTTACTATACAACATCTTACACCCTATTTCCGTTTTTTTTTTATCAAATCGATTTAGAATGGATACTTTTACGATACTTTAAATACGTGGGTAAATACCCGAGTATTTATCCAAAAAATTTGGCCGCCTATGTTAAGTGGTTTGCCAGTTAATGAGTTTAAACCCAATTTTTGGGTAAATACTCAAAATAGGGGTGCCTTTGTATGGGGGCTACCAGAAAACGTGAACCTACATCGATACATATTTGCATGGATATTTAGTACCCAAAGAGAACTCTCTATGCCAAATTACAGCCAATTTGGTGGCTGGCTGGGGGCTATATCAAAACTTAGACCCAGGGACCCCATTTTCCATTTCAATATTTGCATTGACATTAAAAACGTATAAGCAAAATATTGGCCAGCTGTGCCAAGTGGTTCGGCTGTTAATAAGTTTATACCCAATTTTAGTGTAAATACTCGGGTATTTACCCAAGTATTTACTCACGTCTTTAAAGTATCGTAAATCTATATATTCTAAATTGATTTGATAACAGAAACCCGGAAATAGGGTGTAAGATGTTGTATTACCGATTCAATATAGTAAATACCCACAAATGTTTATTTACCCGGTATTTACCCACCCCTTGGGTATTTACCCTGTAAATACCATCTCTAGGTATTTACTTTATTTTGCCGCATAGTGTAATCAGTTGTATGTAGTGGTAAGAAAAGTAGGTTAAACATTTAGTTTAACAACTTTACTGCTATAAATTTTAAAATGCTGACTGAAAAGTGCCTACTGCTACTATATTGGTTTCAAATTATAATTTAGCTTACTACAAAACCCGGAAATTAAATTAATGTAAATATATATATATATATATATATTTAGTTCATACGAACCAAAGCCCCTATATATTTTTCGATTTGCACGAAATTTTGCATAGCGTACTGAATTAAATCTAGCATGTCGTGTGTTAAGTTTCGTGGAAACCGGTTCAGATTTAGATATAGCTCCCATATATTTTTTCTGCCGATTTAATGTAAATGGTGCACAACAGTCGCTATAAATCTTTCGATTTGCACGTTATTTGGCATAGCGTACTGAATAAAGTCTACAATGATGTGTGCTAAGTTTCGTGAAAATTTTTTCAGATTTAAATATAGCCTCCATATATATTTTCTAATTTTTTTAGATTTGCGCGTAATTTTGCATAGCGTAAGTTTCGTGAAAATCGATTCTGCTATAGATATAGCTCCCATACATATTTTGTTCATTTGGCACATAATTTTGTACCATGAACTGAAGTTAATATTAATTAATCTCTGACAAGTTTCATTGAAGTTGGTATTATTTATATATTGCTCCCATATATATTTTCGTCCGATTTTAGGTACATAAATGGTGCACCAAACTTATATATATATAAATATCACTTATTTATGTTCGTTCAATTTCATGTTAATGTTTCTTCGAAGAGCGACGTCTATTAGGATACATACAGAATACATCAAAGTGGTGGAGAGTATCATATAGTCGACCCAGTCCGACTTTATTACCTTGCTTACTGGTTTTACATACATATTTGACATCATTTATGAAAAACACTAGGGTACATCTCTACTAATTGAAAGCATTTGTTTATTGCTAAGGAACAACCGCGAAAAAAGTGTTAAAAAAAATGTTAAATTTGTATTTGACAATAACGTTAGAAATTAATTTCGCCCAATTATGCCTGATTTCTGTTATTGAACAAACAGTTCAATTAAGCGGGTATCGGATAATTGGTTCCTCGGTTAATTGAACAAAAAATTGTGCAAATTTTGATGTGCAGTCAACCGAAAAATACTGTATTTGCATTTTGTTTGAATGGCATTTAGCGGCTTTGGACCAGGCTGGCGATTCGCAAGATAAAATAGGTCGTATCACACATTTATACAATATGTTTTATTCGGCAGATTTTATTTGGATCGCCTACCTTTAATTGGCATTAGTGATCTTAATGTTGTTGTAGCTTTGTCGCATGCATATTCAATATGGTGCCGAAATATCCGGGATAACTCCGAGATACTTAATATTTCTTTTACCTTCATGTAGTAAGGTAAAAATATTTGTTTTACTATATATATATATATATATATATATCAGCATAATTTTTTTTTAATTCAAGTCTAAATTTGTTTACGATCAATAAATATAAACACATTTTTTTTTTTGGTACGATACTCGTTGCAAAATAAAAAATGCCGCTACCATAGATGCAATAAAAACCAGTAAGGAAAAGAGTAAAGCCGGACGGGGCCGACTATATGATACCCTTCACCACTATGGGTATATCAAACAGGACTATTAACATGAAATTGGAAATGTGTATCTACCTAGATCTATCCATAAACATGTCATTCGTTTGTTACATTGGGACAAAAGTATGTAAACCGACTTCAAATAAATATCACTAGGTCAACCGTCGGGTTATGTCTGTACTTCTAGAAAACGCAACTACGTAATTCTATGCTCAATTTTGTACGTTGTGCAAAATTTGATGCATAGAGTCGTCTTTTGTCTGCAGGCAGGTTAAGTTCGAAGATGGGCTATATCGGTCCATGTTTATGCATAGCTCCCATATAAGGGTACCGCTCAATTTTCGACATTTTGGGATTTTTGAGCGTGTTTTTCTAGCGAATTCGCTGATATTTGGTACATTGGGTTATTTTTGGGTAACAAATGTCTCCACAAAATTTTATAAATAATGGTCAAATCGAAGGATATATAGGGACTTTGGTGCACAATTTACATGAAATCGGACGAAGCTATATATGGGAGCTATATTTAAATCTGGACCGATTTTGACGAAACTTGAAAGACATACTTCTAGGCTCAATTCAGTACGTTATGCCAAATTTCGCGCAAATCGAATGATAAATAGGGACTTTGGTGCATCATTTACATGAAATCGGACGAAGCTATATATGGGAGCTATATCTAAATCTGTACCGATTTTCACGAAACTTGGCAGACATCATTCTAGGCTTAATTCAGTACGTTATACCAAATTTCGTGCAAATCGACAGATATATAGGGTCTTTGGTGCACCATTTACCTTAAATCGGACGAAACTATATATGGGAACTATATCTAAATCTGAACCGATTTTCCCCAATTTCAGTAGGGTTCGTCCTTGGGCCAAACAAGTGAGCTGTGCCAAATTTCATCCAAATCGGATTGTAAATGCGACCTGTACTTTGTTTACAATTTAACACCAACAGACGGACAGACGATGGACGGACATGCATAAATCGACTCAGCAAGTGATTCTATGCATATTCTCAAAAGGAACTATGGGTCTATCTCGTTTCCTTTTGCCTGTTACAAACATATGCACAAAGACATAATACCTTGTACCACAGTGTGGTGAAGGGTATAAACACAAGACGCGCGACTTTTGCCCAACGTGTACACGACCTCTATCACGTTTGCTGTTGCATTTTGCAAACATGTGTATTCACAAAGCCATAAGACACTGTACCACAGTGTGGTGTTGGGTATGATTATTACTTTGAAAAAATATTGTCCCGAATGCTATCGTTTCGTTTTAATGGTAATTGAAATTGCGAAAAATTCAAATATTTTTTATCTTATACTATATTTAACATAAAACTTACTTGTTTTAAAAGTGGATCCATGTTTAAAAAATGATTTTTTATTCGTTAACAAAATCACAGAATAATTAAAAAAACGAAAAAAAACATAAGAATCACATAATATTGATTCAATTAAAGCCAATAACAAAAATCATTCACATCACATAACAAAAAAAAAAATGCCTAAATTCGAGACACAAGGCACACTGTCAGACGACACACACATTAGGCGTACAATGTGTCTGGCCAAAATTGGAACTTGTTTGCGACGACATATTCTGCGTATTTTTAAAACGAATTTTGTTTTTTGGTCTGCTTTTATAATTAGTCACTATTTGTTGTAAATGCAAGGGCTATTATATATATGTTTTAATTTAATTTTTATTTAATGATTCTTCTTTAGTAAATTTATTTCGATTTGATGTAATGTGCTTTGTTGAATGTTCTTTTTCTTTTATTGTATGGGAAACCAAAGACAGAAGAACAACAAACCCCACGATGGTAAACAAATTTACTGAGCGCCAAATTCCAACCACCGAAGCACGGCACCGCTTATGCTGTGTTAGGTCATAGTGTTGACAACATAAACAAAAAGGTGGCTATAATTTCGACATTTTCTATAAAATCGCTAACCATGGGGAGAAAAATCGCTAATTTTGGATAAACAAGATATATGCGACGGAGAACTCATGGTGAATTAAACCGAAATTTGCAATATATTTTTATCTGAAGATGTTCTCATTGCTAAAAACTCAATGAGGAATATAGACTACAATGTGTTCAGAATCCGATTTTCTCGAAAATTTACACACGTCATTCTAGACGCAATTCAGTACGCTATGCCAAATTCCGTGCAAATCGAAATATATATAGGGTCTTTGGTGCACCAATTACATTAAATCGGACGAAAATATATATTTACTAAAACCAGAAGATTTTTGGAAGCAGGTAATTTGATGATAGATCATCTTAAAATACATTTCTATTGATAGTTTTCATTATATTAAGGTTCTGTTTACTGACGAAAGCAAATTTAATTTGCACGGGTCAGATGGAAAGATGTATGTGTGGCGTAAGCCAAATGCTGAATTTAATCATAAGAATACAAAAACCACTGATAAGCACGGAGGAGGTTCTGTTATGGTTTGGGGCTGCATGTCGTGTGTGGGAGTAGGCAATTTGCATTTTATTGATGGTAAAATGGACCAATTTGTCTACCTCAACATTTTAAAACAAAATGTAAAGCAAAGTGCAGACAAATTGGGTATCGCGAACAACTTTGCCTTTTATCAAGATCCCAAGCACACATCAGGTGTTGCAAAGCTTTGGTTGATCCATAACTGCTCAAAACTTATACAAACACCTGCACAGAGCCCAGACCTTAACGTAATTGAGCATCTTTGGGAAGAAATAGCTAGAAGAGTGTATAAAAAAAATTTAACTCCTTAGTACAGCTTAAGGAGACTTTACTGGAATCGTGGAACTCCATAGAGCCGGAGGTATGCCCGAATTTGTTCAAATCAATACCGATGCGTTTACAGGCCGTTCTGGACAACAAAGGATATGCAACTAAATATTAATTTCTCGATTTTTTCATTTTTTAACATTGATACTTTGCTTTGTCCGATTTTGCGTTGAACACAATAAATTGAGTTAATTATGTTTTCCTGACGAAATTTACTGTTATCACTAGAAAAGTTGTTGTTTTTTGTATTGTTCAGAAATATAAGTAAGTAATGTGTAAATAAAAGCGAAAAAAACTAAACATTTATACAATTTTTTTTTGAAATGTATAGCATTATTATATCTGACAACCACTTGTCCGATTATTCGATGGAGCCACTGTATATGGCAGCTATATCTTTATATAAGGTGTATGTTATTCAATTAGCTTTATATTAAATTTACAAGTTTATAAAATATTGACCCATTGTTTGAGAGGTACAAGAAGGAGAGGGCCGACAGGTCCCACCTTCGGACTTTATCTAGGCTTCGTAAAGGTAATAGATTGTGTAAAGTTTGATTCAAAGTGGGTCTGGCAGTAAACGGCGAGAAGACTAAGCTGATGGTATCAACGTGCACGACGTCCAGTAGACTCGGACCAACTGTGGAACTTGAGAACTACAGCTTCGACGTAGTTAAAGATTGTATATACCTTGATACCGCCATAAATAAAAAGAATGACATCAGTTTTGAAATTCGGAGAAGGTTTGTGATCGCCAACAGATGCTACTATGGTCTAAGTAAGCAGTTTAGAAACAAGGCCAACTCTCGCCAGACCAAACTCACACTTTACAAAACGCTGATACTACTCGTGCTGTTATATGGATCTGAAGCATGGAAAAGATCTACGGGCCGATATGAGTCGACGGTGAATATCGGCGTCAATTGAACCACGAGCTTTACAATTTATACGCGGACATTGACATAGTCAGTCGTATTGAGCTGCAGCGACTACGGTGTCTAGGCCATGTAGTGCGAATGAGAATGCCCCAGCTCAAAAGGCATATAAAACCGAGTCTACTGATGGTTCCCGCAGAAGGAGAAGGCCACGAATTAGATGGAAAGACCATGTAGAAAACAACATCTTGCAACGTGGTCTTTCAAATTGGAGGCAATGCGCACAAGACCGACGCGCTTGGAAACCTTTTTTAAACTCGGCTTATGGAACAACAGTTCTGTAACAAGCCAGATAAGTAAGTAATGTTTGATTCAAATAGGATATTCCATTCGCTTAATTTTGGATTTATAAATTTATTTATAACGCATTTGTAAATCGACTCCAAATTCTCTGCAAGCGAATTTGGTCCAAAGAAACATGCGGTCTAAAACCAATATACCCTCATTAGCGAACATTGGCAAATTTGAATTTAATTCAATTTCGCATCAACACAAAACATAAGTTATCAATATACGGTCTTTGTAAAGCCACGTGTTTTAATATGCCTCGTGAGCTGTTTAACCAACGGCAAAACGCCTCGCATAATGGTGAGTACGTAGGTTCTTCCCATGGCCCTCTCAGTGCAAACATTGATCATTAAGCGTGACTCGAAAGAGAAAAAAATCACTTAAAATAAATAATACATATTTTTCAATAGAAATAAATAATTTAATAATTAAAGTAAACCACTCATTAGAAAACATGTACATTAAATGGAAAGAATTAGGTACCATAATAGGCCCAAATTTAACCACCGCGAAAATTAGAGTATTAATCGCGTGTTAACAATTATACATTATCAAATCAAAGAAATCGCAACAGAAGTTCGTTGGCTTCTGGTGTACAATTTACTTCAGTTTCCTAATGGGAAAGTGTGAAGCAGCAAATCCCTTTGCAATGAAAAATTCCTATTTTCAATTTTTCGCGTTTTTGTAATATATGGCAGTGACTCAATTGGAGGAAGGATCTGGAAGCTATAGAACTATAAATTTGCAAGGTTTGTTTGTTCTTCAATTTTATTCTGAGAATTCATAAAAATTACATTTCGAAAATAAATAAAATGTATTGATATTTCGTATTTTTGTTTACATATCTCGACATATCAAACTGATACTACTCTGCAAGCATTTGAAAGTGAGTTTCTGACTCCCTCGCCTAATGAGTCACTTCCGCGTCACTTCTTTCCCGGGAAAAGGCGATAGTTTGTATATTTACAATAACAAAACTATTGTTGTTTAGCTTTTATCGGCTTGGAGTTACTTCTAAGTGTCGTTTTGGAGGATGAAAGAAGAGGGTTCAAATTTTACAATAACAATTTGCACAGTTTCAAAATGTTCTATTATTTGTTTGGGAAAAAAGGGGAGAAAACATATATATATATATATATATAACTCAGTTAAAGAAGTATTTTCAAAGTGAATGGTAATCGACAAACAAAAAGTGAATTAAAATTTATTACTAATTTTAAAAATAATAATATTTATTAAGTGTCTTCATACAAAAATACGAAATATCAATAAATTTTATTTATTTTCGAAAAAAAAGTATAATAGTGTAAAAATTATTAAAAGAAGTTAAAAAAATAATTTTTAGATTTGTGAATATATTAAAGTTATTATTAACAAAAAAGAACTGTGAATAACTATTTAGAATACCTGACTAAGAAAATCGCTTTCGCGAGAAGTAAGTAACGCCGAAGTGAAAAGTGACGTCTAGGCGATAGAAACAGTTGCGGAATACAATCGCTTTCTTATCGCGGAAGTCACCTCCTTCGTTTTCACTAGAGTTAAAGTTAAACGTTACTTCCTGGAAGTGACGCGGACGTTAGTGGGAGAAATATGTGGAACTGAAGATTACTGATCCGCAGCAGTTCCCTTATATTTAGCAATATTCTTATTTTACTTGTGACATGTGTTAGAATGTCTAACGCATTAAAAACGCTACATTGGCCACAAACAATTAGCACGTTTTTAATATAAATAAAAATTCTCTTTTTTAGATTCTCTCTCTTTTAGTTGTCACGCCAACAAAGCTCTGTATGGATGAAACCTACATGTCCACGAATGTGTATAAGTATGGCAGATATGATGAATGAACATTTAGCTAATACTAAGGGAAATATTAATCTTTATAAATTCAATGCGTTTATTTAATATTTGAACTATTAAAAATAGCAATGAAACAGTATTATTTATTATTACATAGTCTGAATCGGTAAAATATCAACAATTTATTACGTAAAATGTTGTACTGTATTTTAAGATTTCAGTACGAAAATGTTCCATCCCTGCCGGCATTTGTTGCGAGTGTATAAATAACAAAAACTTGTTTGTTTGAGCGCAACGTTCGTTCATACATATATGGATTACGTATTATTTCAAAAAAAAAATGTGCTTATCTGGGAGAGAAAAGTTGAGAGCATTTGTATAATTCTCTTTGTTGACATTCTCATTATACAAGTGGGGAATTCTTGCATGTTTTTTGTTTTGTTTTGGCGGCTAAAATTTAATCCCTAATAGAATGTGTTTTTTGCAAAAACGATTGGTTGGGAATTTTTCAAAATAAAAACTAAATACAATAACAACCACATTGTAGTAGCCGG